AAGTCATTTAAGCTTTTGAGTGGCATTTCAGTCGTATGCATTCTTTAAATTTTCTCTCAAACCTTTTTCGCTGCTGCTAGTAGGGTGAGAGATTTAATATAAGATTAATTGTTCAATCCTAAGATCAAAGTAAACATTTCAATCCAATTCTAAGTGATTTTGATGCAAAGAAAATATAAATGTGTGTTTAAGCTAAGTACAATTAGTGTATTGATGATGAGAAATAAGTAATAAGAACAAGCAATGGAAGTAACTAAATCTTTCAATCAAAAAGAGAATAAGGACTTATGGGTACATGCATTTGAATTAAATGATTAAGTTTCAATCTAAGGTGGAAAGTTATCAGTTAATAGGTTCCGTTCTTAAGTCTAGATCACAATATTAGACAAATTCTTTGTCAAGATACAAATCCCTGTGTTGAAAATACAAATTCATGTCATTATGCATTAAACATCGAATGTCTTAGAAACATGTGTTTTAATCAAGTTTATTAATTATCTAGCAATCATAACATCAAATGTCTTTGGTTATTCGAGCTATAGCAAAATTGAGTTGGTTTAGATATTTCATCAAATACCTTATCGGCATGAAATGCGTATTTGATGAAATGTTTAGAGATCATTAGAGATATCAAGACTAATCTATCATTGAACACACTCAACAAGAAAGGAAACATATACATCTAACATTAAACACCCTATATTTTTGCTTAATCACTATAATCATCATAACTAATGAATTCAAAAGAGTCTACTCACTAATCTTCATATTTAACTTTTAACCCATCTACATTCAAGACTAATCATGTTAAGAAGATGAAATAGACTTAAATAACTCAAACAAGAAAGATTAAATTAATAAAAGATTCGATTTTTCTCCCAAAATATGTTTGTTTAGAGAGAAAAAAACAAGATCGTCTAGAATATATTTATAGTAACTTAAAACTTGAACTGGGTCGACCGACACCCGAGGTTCGACCCAAAAAAAAAAACAAAACGAAAGTGGTCTTGGATTTGGTCATGAACTGGATCGAACCGTGGCCGTGGTCTGTGGTCCATCCACTTCAAACTCGACCAATCTCGCGGATAGAATCTACACCCGGTTGACGTCTGCGCTCTGCTCTCGTCCAATCTCACGGACTACTCTTGTCCATGGTCAATGTCCACGCTTTTCTCTCACTCTGCTCTTGTCCGTGGTCGACGTCTGCGGCCGAGTCGACCCACTTCTTTGATTTTGTGATATTTCTTCTTGACCAAATCTCTTAAACTCGACCTTCTCCATACTTGCAATACCATATATGCAGACGATATACACTTAATTAGATTCTAAATGCACCCTAATTAAATAATCGAAATGAGTATGGAAATGATGAGTAAAACATGTAAAATTTCAAGACATCAAAACTATAGTTTTCAGCGTCTCATCGAAGTGATTGGTGGTCTTCACCCACCAGACGATGCTCAATGAAAGTATCTCTACGTCTTTTCAGCATTTCAGGTGGGATTATCCTAACACTAGTAGCACCGCTCTGGTGGTTCGTAGTTAGTACGGTGGTGTTCCTTGTTAGAAAACAACGGAGAGTTTGCTGAACAACTCTTGTCAGTCATCGGAATCGCGGTTAGTCTTTCCCAAAAGTCAAAATGTTCAGCAACGGTGGTTTTTGCTTTAGGGATGGCTGTTTTCTCTTGCTCTGCTTCCTGTGGACTCCAATAAGTTTTACTAAATTGTTGAATAAATTGTTATGTCAGCTTAGTTGACACATTCCTTCATCATCTCGTTAGGGGTGGGCATGGATCGGATATCCGGGTTTTTTAAGGTATTTGTGATTTGCTTCGAATGTTACGGATATCTAATTTTGGTATTTGCTTTGCTTCGAAAAAATACGGATATCCGGAAAAACGGATATCCGGAAAATAAATAGATATTTGCGGATATTTACGAATATTTACGGATATTTCATCCATTTTGATTAATACAAATAATCTTAAGATTTTGATACAAATTTGCTTTGCAAAAATATTTTTTTGCATGATATATAAAATAAAACTTAAAAGAACTAGTGAATTTATATATTTTGTAATTTTTTAAGCTCAAGTTACAATTATAATAACACAAAAATTAAGAAAAAAATATAATTGTCATAATTTTCTTTCTTTCTTTTTATGTAATACTTTAATATAAGTAATAATTTGAATAGAATTGTTCAAAATCATATGCTAGAGTAATAATTATATAATTTTATACATTTAAAATGTTAAATATAATCAAGATATACATATATTTATATATTTACGGATCGGATCGGATATCCGCTTCCCAAAATTTTACTATTTGTGATTTGCTTCGATTTTAACGGATATTGAATTTTAGTATTNATCAAGATATACATATATTTATATATTTACGGATCGGATCGGATATCCGCTTCCCAAAATTTTACTATTTGTGATTTGCTTCGATTTTAACGGATATTGAATTTTAGTATTTGCTTTGATTCGAAAGTTTACGGATATCCGGAATTTTCGGATCGAATCGAAACGAATAACGAATCGAATCAAATATAACGGATAAAATTCCCAGCCCTACATCTCGTTAGTTTAGTTTATTTTAAAATCTGTAATGGCATATCACCTCTCTTAAATATAAATCATTAAAATATATATATATATATATATATAAATCATGCTTGGCTGGTGTTTTTATGTTATAATCATTATAACTATTTTAATCATCAGAAGGAGCGACCTATCAATCAGACAGAATTCGACGTCAAAAAAAAAATCAATCAGACAAAATTAACGGTAAAAAGAGGTAGCAAAAAAAGGTAACCCAAAAAAGAAACGATGGCAGGTATCATTTAAACTAAAATGTTTTTTTTTTTTTTTTTGTGAACCCATCTTACTGAAAAATTTCTTTCTTGCCTGTTTTAATCACTAAATCATTCTAACTAAAATAGGTGTTGCAAAAATATTTTTGGACCCACATGCAAATATTATTACTTTATCAAAAAAAATTCAAAAGAAAAATAAATAGCACTGAAAAATTATTACGCCCGCTCATTATAACTCCAAAAAAATATTAATCTCACTACTGTAAAGAGATGGGATAAATTTATTTTTATATATTTCTAAAAAATAAGTTATCAAATAAATAACCCAACTCTAAAATGTTTTTATACTTGTTATTTGTTTGTCATCGTAAATATCTAATTGTTATACTTATTACATTTGATCATGTCACATAATTTCTTTTTCAAGACAAATGCCGTAATAAGTACAAAGCGAAAATAAAATATTTATGTTCACTTCTTATACAAACCTCTGAATTACATTGGTCTTTAGTACATGTATTGCTCTAACACATGTAAATTGTCTACTTCATCAGGTTCTAAATAGACTTGTTTTCGTATGATTTATAGAAAGATTCTATAATAATTTTCAACGTAAGCACAAATCGCATGTGTACAATGATTAACAAACATAAGTCGGTGTTAGGCAACAAATATAACAATTTGACTTTAAAGAACGAGTCCTAATATAGAAGCAAAAAAAAATTAAGGGCGTATTTTTGTAACCTATCATATGAAATTGGTCAAACTAAAATTTATACTAATGATAAATTGATAAGGTCCCTTTGACCAAAAAAAAAGGAAAAAGATAAAAGGTCCTTCTATATAAACACGGTAGGACCCAGATGCCCACGGAGTAAGATCCACGGACCGGCGCACCCGGTCTCCAGTCAGAGTATAAGAAGCCGGGCCGCCAAAATCGTTGACTCAGTTAACCCATCTCTCTGTCATTTTCTCTTTTCCTTTTTTTTTCTGAATTATCGTCCAATTTTTGTTTCCAACTGTTTTATATTTAGTTAAATAATATAATAAATGAAAAAGAGATAATCACGTGGAACGCGCCGCAGTAAACGGTGCGGTGGATCAAAACTTTTCGTCCTTTTGATCACCGGAACTAGTCAATGCGCTTTCTTGGTGCATTAAAAGTATGAAGACCATTTTGTCACAGCCATTTCCCTTGCAACTATCAAAATTAAATTTTAAGAAGTCTGCTTATATCGGGTCATACTACTCGACCTGGATCCGAGATATATAAAAACACATATATAGATTTTACAACTTTTAATCCAAATATAGAAACTGAAACAATCCATTTGGGTTCTAGAGTCTTGTACAAAACAACAAATCATCAATATTAACTGTTTGAAATTTATTTATTTTTATCTTTATGATTAATTATCATAAAAGTATCTCAAATTTATTGAAGAGCCATACTAATTTTCAAAGAGAATAAATTCTCTTTCTGAATATTTAAATAAAGTTCAAAGTATGGCTTCGTATATGTGTAAAGATAGTAAGATACACGTTTTTTTTTACGAGGACACAAAATTTATTTTTATTCTATTCTTTATTTTTTCAAACATTTACATATTAATCAGAAAGACTATTATGCATCTTTAGACTATCTTGTCCTTTCAATTAATTTATTTATATATATTAGCAGTTTATGTATCAATTAATATGTAGTTTAACTGATTTAATCTTATAAAATAAATAATATGTTTTAAGAATCCATGTTAGAAATTGAGGTATTTAATAAATACTTTAACTTCATTTACATTATTACAATTTTTTTGCTTTAGATTTATATTCATGTTGTTGAAGGATCAATTTTTTTTCCATTTTTATCAGTGTTTAAACGATTTTTTTTGTATCAAGTTTCGTTTCCATGAAATGAAACAATCCGGGTGAGTTATGGGTCAGATCCAGGACCCGGCATGACGCAGGAGGTGACGAAAATCTCCAACTTTGTTTCTAAGAGTCTCCAGAAAATAAAATCAACGTTTATCATTTCATTTTTTTTTTTTTAAAGTGATGGAAGAAAGAAAATAAGTTTCAAAAAAAAGAGAAATTTTGTTTTTGTCAACATCTCAAACCCTTTTTATAGGAGAGTTTAGTGTTCTCGCAGAAGACTTCAAAATCTCTGTACTTCTCTCTCTAAACAAACCCATAAAGAGATCTTTCATTTTTCTCTTTAATCTTCTAACAATCTTCCTCCTTTCGTTCTATTTATGGACATAGGATGGGCTGGTCTCACTCTTGATTCATCTTCTCTCGATCTCATAAACCCTCATCGTTTCAAAAGTAATAATACTCATCGCGGCTTCTCGAATCCGTTGACGATGTCTATAACTGGAGATGGCGCTGACGATCACAAGACGAAAGTATCCAACGCCGCCAGCGAGTTTAGGTTTCCAGTGAGTCTTTCTGGTATTCGTGAACGTGAAGATGATGATTTATCGAGTGGAGTCGCCGGTGAAAACGATCGTGAAGTTCCCGGCGAAGTTGATTTTTTCTCCGACAAGAAGTCTAGGGTTTGTCGCGACGACGTAGACGACGCTGGATTTCGTGTTAAGAAGGAGGAACAAGATGATCGAACGGACGTAAATGTAAGTCTGAAAATTATCAATAGATCCTATTGTATAATTGAAATATACATATGAATGATAAACCGAACTTGTAACAAAAAGGTTTGTGTAATATCTACGACATAATAGGAAAGTCATATACGAACTTCAGAATTTAGGAAATATTCATTAATTTTTAATTTTGTGAATAGACCGGTTTGAATCTTAGAACCAGGAGTGATCAATTAGTGACCGACGACGTAGAATCTTTCAAAATGGAAGATAAGCGTCCAAAAATTGAGGTAAATGTAATTTAATTTTCTAGCACGTTCGCAATTAATATTTATTTGGTTTTATTATGAATCGAATCGGTTTGGTTAATTTAATATTTTAATTTTAAAATTAATCACAGTTGGTGAAGCTACAAGAAGAGCTGAAGGAAATAACCATGGAGAATCAAAAGCTAAGGGAATTGCTTACACAAGTGAGCAACAGTTACACTTCACTTCAGATGCATCTTGTTTCACTGATGCAACAGCAGCAACAACAGAATAAGGTGAGGTGAATGATTTTATTACCTTAAATGATTAGGCAATTAACATTAACGAACCTATATAACTAGGCAATAGAGGCTGCTGAAAAGCCTAAGGAGACGATAGTACCAAGGCAATTTCTCGATCTAGGCCCGTCGAGAGAAGCTGGCGAGGCTGATGACGTGTCAAATTCTTCATCGGAAGATAGAACTCATTCGGGCCGTTCTTCTCCGGCCGAGAGGCATTTTGATGAGGTTAGGGACGGGAAGAGACTTGGGCGTGAAGAAAGCCCTGAAACCGAGTCTAATAAAGTTCAGAAAGTTAATAATAGTAGCCCAACGACGTTTGATCAACCCGCAGAAGCTATCATGCGGAAAGTACGTGTCTCAGTGCGCGCTCGATCAGAAGCTCCTATGGTAAGTACTTGATCTACATAATACTTTACGTACGGCCGATTTAATTTGATTTTCATTACAAAATGAAGTATATTTAAAAAAAAAAGATTAATTGCGTAATTATGCTTTTGTAGATAAGCGATGGATGTCAATGGAGAAAATACGGGCAGAAGATGGCAAAAGGAAACCCTTGTCCGCGAGCTTATTACCGTTGTACCATGGCCACGGGTTGTCCCGTTCGCAAACAAGTACGTGTTCTGGCTCTTCTAAGTATTTTTGAAATCTATTTAAATAATTTATATATACAAGCATAAAAACTATGTTCATTACCGAATGAGTCTGGAGACTAGGACATAGAAGTTAAGGGGTTGGACTAATGCCGCTTATGTGTTTTCAATTCCGGTAGTGTGCATGCGTAGTGAATTATTATAGGCGGAGAACAAAAGAGCCGAGTAATCTTGTAAAAGGATTAATTTAACCATTAGAATAAAGATCCATGAACTCATATAATTTAAAACGGAATTTTGAATATGTATGTTTGAGCGATTGGCTAACAAGTGTGTTCCGTAATTATATACTTATAGGTTCAACGTTGTGCGGAAGACAGATCGATCCTGATAACAACCTACGAGGGAAACCACAACCATCCGTTGCCGCCAGCCGCAATGGCGATGGCTTCCACAACCACAGCCGCGGCTAACATGTTGCTATCCGGGTCAATGTCTAGTCACGATGGGATGATGAACCCGACCAATTTACTAGCTAGGGCTGTTCTTCCTTGCTCAACAAGCATGGCCACAATCTCAGCCTCCGCACCATTCCCTACCGTCACCTTAGACCTCACCCACTCACCTCCACCTCCCAATGGTTCCAACTCCTCCCCTTCGACAGCCGCCGCTATCCACAATCACAACTCATTGATGCAGCGCCCGCAACAACAGCAACTCCAACAAATGAGTAATTTACCTCCGGGTATGTTACCTCATGTAATAAGTCAGGCATTGTATAACCAATCCAAATTCTCGGGGGTGCAGTTTTCTGGTGGTTCTCCGTCGGCCGCGTTTTCACAGCCGCAGGCTGTGGCTAATACAATAACAGCACTCACTGCTGATCCCAACTTCACGACGGCTCTTGCAGCCGTTATTACTTCCATGATCAATGGTTCCAACCACCATGACGGCGTAGGAAATAACAAAAACCAATAGAAAATATCACATACAATTTGTTCTCTTTTAAATCTTCATTTTTTCAGACTGGGTTAATAGGAATTAGAAACTTTATTTCATTGTTTGATAGTATGTAGAACCCCTATAAATTAATATCCGATAAATTAATAATCTCTATAGATTAATAATCTCTAATTCCCAGTTCAAAGTACGTACGCGAATATGGATTATCTATTCTGGAGGAAGAATGCGATAATGGAACCGGAATTGGACAGGGATCCTTATCGTTGGCTAATTTGGTACATTTGGAAGGATAGGAATGACAAGCTTTTTAGAGGTAGCGCACTACGCAGAAAGTGAATACCAAGCATGGTTCAAAGCAAATGAGCAGGAAAGTCCGGCTCCCATTGGGACCGGAACGGAGGAAGACCAGACCTTAAGTTTGGGTAATATATGCATGGTAGATGGTTCTTGGACCTCTACAGAATCTTTCAGTGGTTGTGGATGGGTTTTGAACGATAACTTCGGAAATAGTAACTTAATGGGGCTGCGCAATTTTGATCACGTGGAATCGACGTTGCATTCAGAGTTGAAAGCACTGCGGTGGGCAATGGAGAATATGCTTCAACATTCACCATGTCAGAGCTTTGGAACTGATTGTAAGGAGATGATTGAGATGCTCAAGAATCCTATTGCATGGCCTAACTTCTCAACAGAACTGGAAAAACTGGAGACACTGAAGATCTGTTTTCCTGAATTCAAGATTTTTTATGTTCCTAGATTACAGAATGACGTTTCTGATTCTCTAGCTAAGACAACTAGATCTTTTTATCGTAAACTTGTGTACGTTGGTTGTTCTATTCCGGTCTGGATTCCCAGACCACCTCAAGTTCCTTGAGTAATAGATCAGCCGTTTGATGCCAAAACAAAAAAATTAATAATCTCTATAAATTAATAATTTTTTTCGGTCTCGAGTTGGACCGATTCAAATATTACATAAATCGATAAAATAATAAGATACTAACTTTTTAGAAAGTTATATGTAAATATATGGTCCCATTAAAATCATAAATTAATAATATATTTATATATACATTTCTTATAAGTATAACCTAAACTATATTGTTGATTTTATATTCATAATAAAAATTCATACATTCTTTCTTAACATTTCAATATATTTTGATAATATTTAATAAAATTATAGCAAAAACTCACATATAAATTATATAAAACATAAAAATATAAACTAAGTAATATAATAAAATAATAAGAAAGTCAAATTTCTAAAATTTTATGAATATATATACCGTAAAATTAAATACAATTTTTTGTATTAATGAAAATATTTTAAAATGATAAAAAATCTATAAAATATTTTTTTTTAAATTAATATATCTATAAATTTTTAAAAAATTAAAAGTCTCGATATTATTAATTTGTAGAAGTTTTACTATATTCTGTTTCTTATCAAACTTCCAGTAGATTTGCACAAAAAAAAAAAATCAAACGTCCAGTAGATTTACAAAAGAAAAACATTTTAGTTTCAAATAATATTACGTTTGTTAATAACACAAATTAGTTTCGTAACTTACTAACTCAGCGTTGCCTTTAATAATGACATTTCTTTAGTGTGATATTGTTTTACACGACATGTGAGCGCCGAATACCGAAACCTAATTGTTTGGCCGTACCTTCAATAGAGAAAGAGATATTGTCAAATAAGTGTACTACATAATGACACTTACTGAACATTTATGAATGCATACAGTACTTAATAAAAAATATAAAGGTCAATACATGGTACCATAACAATTTTGACACGTAATTGCTTTCTAATGAAGTCACCTAGAAGTTTGAACACTTCAATTTTGTAAACAAAAGAGAAACAACTTCCCAGAAACTACGAGTTTAATGGAATGATCAATATGAAAATCAATGAACTGAAACAGGGGCCAGACAATCAGGCTATATATTTTCATTTATATAAAAATAAAATAGATATACGAAAGGAGAAGATAAACCTAGTTTTTTTTTTTCTTCAAACGACGATTTCATTACACAAATTAAAAGTGGTCTAAAAAAATCATACCAGAACAAAGTAACCAATATAATACAGATCTTTGCAAAAAAAATATTCAAATTTAAGATAGTCTAAAAAATTATATCAGAACAAAGCAACTAATGTAATACAGATTTTTGTAAAAGAACTTCGTTTTCTTAGTTAATGAATCAGATATTACAGTACTAGCACGAGAAATAAATGAAATCGAGAAACCCGTGAACCTATTATTCAGTCTTGAAAACCCATTCAGTTCTGTGGAAAAGTTTGGCCATACTTTTAGATCTTGAATCATTGAGACTAGTTCCTTGCAGTTTGTTCTGAATGTCTGGCACATCGAATTCTGCAGCATGCATCCCATTGTCCACAGTAGAGCTACTATGCGTGAGATTCTACTATGCGTTCCTTGCTCCCAAATGTTGAATTTCGCTGCTAAGTCCTTTCATATCCATCCACAACTATTGAAGAGTGCGTTATGTGTCCATGATCCATCAATCATACATTTCTCTGAGTCTGATAAAGATTCTTGAAGTTGTTCCTTCGTCAATACCACCACTGGCATATTATTTACCTCAAACCAGACATGACAATCTGCTTATGTATGTTTGACATTTTCCAATAGATCATTGAGAAGATAAAACAAGTTAAAATAGTATTATGACATGAAGAAATTTATGGTAAAAAGTTATTTAGAGTATTTATAATGGTTACTGATATATACCATGAATTTGACCCGCTTTCAGCCATGGTATATAAGTGTTTTAAGATTTATTATGTTGGAGTCTTTTTATAAGATTTACAGGTTTATATATGTTCTGGAGGAATATGGTGATTGTAGTGTCTTTTAGAATCTTTTGAGTGCATGACTACATATGCGTGACTACATATGCGTCAGATGTTTAGCTATGAATGGAGGCCTTCCCACCGTTAGATTGAGACCGTTTGAAACAAGATAGCGCTTTTAGTTAGCTTTCCAATACCACCAGTCTGAGGTCAATCAGCATTCTGTAGCAGAAGTTATGACCGTTTTATTGAAGAGTGGTCAGTCTGTCTCATATATTCACTTTTATTCAGTTTTGGAGGAAAAAATGGAGTATTACATTGGCGATGCTCTTAAAGGTCTCATATTTTGATCTGATGTACACCGATCTGCTGGAGACTTCTTATGTGACTGCATCCAATCCAACGCAACTAGCTCTCGATCTCCGGTAAGACTGGATCCGTCTGGATTCAAAACAACGAATCCTATATCTATCAAAAACCAAAACAAAACCAGAAATGATAATGTGGACATATATGTTTGTGCACAACTAAAAAAGGGGACATATATATATATATATTTTATGTTTGTGCACAACTAAAAAAGTGGACATATATATATATATATATATATATATATATATATATATATATATATATTTAAAACTACAGATTTATAACATATATTGTCATGAAGGTTGAGTGGATGATCATTACTATTATACACAATAGAGCATGGTTGAGGAGATACATGTGCAGTAAGATTGTCCACAGGGGAAAGTGTGGATAGCGTCTGTGTGGACATGGTCTGTGTGGACAGCGACCTATTTTCAGTTTTCGGAGAAACAAATTATATATGATGAAACCATAACCATCCAAGATACTTCAATTCATGATATTTGTCCACAAATCTCTCATCCACGATGTTTCCATACATAATGAAACCATCCATATCAAACTTATTTCATCTTATTTTTTTTGTGGATGAGTTCATGTAAAATATGTTGACATTTTTTCTTCAATTTATACATTTCGGTTTTTTTTCTAAACCTAAAATTTTGGTGGATGAATTTTGTTTTTCTTGTACAAGAAGTTTGATAAAAAAACGTTTTGTGAATAAAGTTCCATAGCAAAGTTTTTGTGGACTAGGTTGTACATTTATTTGTGGATGCAAACAATAGATGTTTGCGTGAACGCAATAGAAAATTTAGGAGTTGGAGTGCATATTTCAAATTTGAGGTTAATTCAAGAGGACTCTTATGCATATTTGGATATTCTGAGCAAACATATAAACTATTACAATTACAAGGACCAAAGGTGAAAATTCACAAACTTGAACTCAAGGTTCATTAGTGGCGATCTTGAGCTTCAAGCTGTGGCGGCTTTGATTTATGGTTCACCGGAGATCTCGGAGAAGCTGATATCATGGCGACAACGATGATTGTTACTCTAGCTTCACTCTACGACCCCAAAACGCCACCACGACAGCCTACTTCTATTTGGTTCGACAATGGCGGCTGAGGGTCAACTATAGATGACATCACCATGGTTCAAGACTTGGGCTTCAGCTTGGATTTTGTAAGGAACAGTGAGCCGCAAACACATAAACAACGAGCTGCATAGCAAAGCATGCCGGTTGAGATACATCATAGTATCTTAGGGAGCTTGAGTAGAGGACGACGAAGCTTGAAATCAAGTTTGACATAGTGAAGAAGAAGAACCGCGACAAATTGGAGTGGTGAGCACGAGTTTCAGAGTTAGAAGCTTGAAATCGATTTTTTTTTCATCAGTTGTGTTTAAAGATTGAAACATTTTCAGGTATCCAAAACCATATCAGAAGCAGGTGAGAGTAAACAGTTTATATTTTGTTTTATTATATGTGTGCTCTTAATTCTTCAGGTAATTGCAGACGAGAAGAATTTTTTTTATCTTTTGTTTTATTTACATGAAAGGAGAATAACAAAATATGAGAAAATGAAGAGAAAGATAAAGAATATTTGTTTGTTTTGTGGAATTGGATTTTATGTTTATGGATAATTGATTAATGGTTAGAAGAGGGAGATGTGTGAAAAGAGAGTGAAGAAGAGGAAGAAGGACAATTGTTTAGATTAAATAAATTTGAAAGGAGAAAAATGTGAAGATGCAGTTTCCTGAGATGTTCTTGGTCAGTTCGTGAAGTACTACATGAGGTAGTACATGTGTGTGTCATGAAGATAGGCTTGTGTTAGAGTTCGTGTTTCGTGATGAGCGTGAGTTTGCTGAGCTTGAAAAAGGAAAGAAGATATGTGCTTGAAGACATATGGACGTTTTCCATAAAACAAAAGAAAATTTGCTTGAAGATGAAGTTTTCCATTAAAGATATGAAAAGTTGCATTAAGTGTATTTGGAAGACTTAGAAAGCAAGTTCGAGATGTGGAGAACAAGTTTTGGTCTTATATATTGAGGAGGACATGTCTTATGAGAAAGTTAGACCTCATAGAAGAGAGAGAGGTTTCCTTGGTGTGTGTTACTGCTTGGTGTCGAAGTACATCTTAAAGCATTGTCTGATGGAGTCCGATGTGGACATAGTTTGGTGGCATTCATGGTGACGTTTTGTATGGTGGAGTTAGCTATTATGTGGAGCTCGTGGTAAGCGTGTGGTACGTTAGAGATGACGTGTTTTTGGTGTCACTGGTGTGCGTTAGGTGTTGACGTACTTGGTGAAGTACTTTCGGGATGTTGAAGATTGAAGCCTAGACTCAAGGGGAGTTTAGCAAAGGTGGTTTCCTTGAAGAGGTCTGTGAAGATTGCAGCTGTAGAAGACAGTGTGCTCCGATGCGTCGGATGGTGATCTATGTATGTGTGTTTGATTCCTAATATTTGTAGATTGCTTTTAGAAAAGAGTTGTATACACAAGTGTGTGTGTTGTACCATATAGCAATTGTAGATTGTTCTTTGTCTAAGTCAATGAAATGAAATCTAGACTAGGTCCCAGAGATATATGAAACGAACCTTGTTAACAAATATAATGTGTTTTTACTTTCTGCAATATTTTTTTCATCGCTTTATCCGCACTTACAAATATAACAATGTTTATTTTAATAGTCTTTACTATTTTTTTTCT